GAACATTTGTTTAATTATGCAAAAATGGTGCTGCATTCTTTTATGCTGCATTTATTTAACTCTGTGAAGCTGTGTTACTTTGCCTGTCTAAAACATCTGATTGGTCTAATAAAGAGCTGAGTGCCCAATAGCAAAGCAGGAGAAAGCATAGGTAGGGCTGGCAGGCAGAGAGAATAAATAGAAGGAGAAATCTGGGAGGAAAAGATGAAGGAGCAAGAGGAGGAAGACTCCAGAGGCCACGGCAAGCCACAGAATAAGAAGTAAAGAAAGGTATACAGAAATAAAGAAAGATAAAAACCGAGAGACAAAAGATAGACAGGATAATTTAAGAAAATCTAGCAAGAAAGTCAACCTATGGCCCAACATTTATAAGTAAGAATAAGCCTCTGTGAGAATTTATTTGGAAGTTGTGTGGCAGACCCCCCAAACAACAACAACAACAAAAAACAACCCCAACTACACTAAGTATTGTTGTCTTTTTAGTCTTCAGCATTCCGGTGGATTTTGGTTGGCATTATTGTGAAAACTAAAACTTGCTAGCACCCCACACCATCATTCCTTTTCCAGAGGCTCACAGCTAGTAAGTACCATTTCTAGGCATATTTTCACACTTTTATTTAATCTATTGTATATGCATAAATAATGCAGTTTTTAAGATTTTTACATATATACTCTTTCAGTTTGACTTTTCTTTCAGCTATACATAATACGTTGTGCTTGCCTACTTTGATTGTTAAATATTAGATCCATGAATTTTTACTATTAGATTACATAGATAGCATATACTTTAAAACACTGGTGTTAGTGTTAAAATGGCTTGCGTGTTTCTTCTTTTAGACACCCAGAAAACTGAACTCTTTGGTTCTGCAAATATTTCATTTCCTTCTATGTAACTGAATGCTCCCCAGCACAGGTGTATACTTCCAACAGACTTAATACTTCAGGTGGTCAGGCTTTCAAAATTCTGGTCCGTGTGATGAGTGTTAAGTGGTGTGTTAGTTATGTCTCTGTTGTTGTGATAAAGCACCATGACCAAGGCAACTTATAGACTCGGTGTTTACTTGGGCTTATGATTCTACTGGGGTAGAGTCCATGATGGTGGGGAAAGCTTGGGGGCAAATGGCAGACAAAGCAGCTGAAGCAGAAGGCTGTGAGAATGAAACAGAGAGAGGAATTGGAAATTTAATTCTCATAGCCTTCTTTTAGTGACACTTCCTCCAACATGGCCACACTTCCTATAGCTTCCCAAACAGCCTACCACCTGAGGATCAACCGTTCATATACACAAACCTATGGGAGACATTTTCATCCCAACCACCACAAATGACATCCCATTCTGGAACTGATCTGGATATCTTAAATGTAATTAGAATATTTTGTCTATCATATCCTTTGTCTGTGATTCCTCAGGGTGCCCTACAGATTTGTCGCCAAGTAGAGTTATTTCACCTGTATAAAAATTTTTGTCGGGTTGTCAAAACTCTCTCTTTTCATTTTTATTTATACTTTTCTTCTACCAATGATTTCTTTGCTAATGTAGAGGCTTTGTTTTCTGAGTTTACACTTGTTTCTATTGCTTTCCCTCTTTGTGTTTTATTTAAGCACTATTCCCACTCATTACCGGTACCCTGCGGGGTTCCTGTGCTGCTCTTCTATGCTTGCTTTGCATACATAGCTGTTTAATGTATCTGTAATTTTAAGTTTTCTTACTATTTTATTTATTTCGTGTGTATGAGTGTTTGTCTACATGTGTGTCTGTGCACCATGTGTACACAGTGCCCATGGATAACAGAAGAGGGGGGGCAGATGCTCAGAGACTGGAGTTGCAGAGAGATGGTTGTGAGCTGCCGTGTGGGTGCTGGGAATTTAACCCAGGCCCTTTGGTTCACCTGCAACTTTTATGTGTTGTAAGGTTGCTTCCTAATTCCATTTTCCTTTATATGGATAGCCGATTGGGTCCACCACATTTAGTCAACAATGCTGTGTCTCATACGCCCTTCATGTTACTTACTGCATGTATTCCTTCTTTAAGTCCTTTATGCAGGCATACTTGCCTATTTATGTGACCAACACTATATAATATTGTTTTAGTAACCATATTGAAGCCTTCAAATACATAATGATATACTCCTTCTGCTTGGGTTTAAATAGTCTAGGCTTTTTGTGACTATCCTTATATCAGTTCATCAAAGACCTGTCACAATTTGATTGGAATTATATCTTGTGATACTTTACTTCTGTGTATTTTACCTTTATACTTTAAATTTTATTGTGTATACTTACACTTTATATTTATCCTAATCATTTGATGAACTTATTACACATTTGACATTTTAGCTCTCTTCTTCAGATTCCCTTTCCCTGTTCCTAACACACCTTTTGGAATTCTTTCACCAAGGGTTAGAATGGCCGGATTCCTTGAATATTTATTTTGCAATCTATGAACATCCTTCTTCAGAGTGGATGGTCTGTATAGCTGAGCTGCCTGGAGTAGAGCAGACTGATCCTTGTCAGCTGTGCAACCCCTTCATTAGCAGTGTGCCTCGGCATACCCTTTCCTTTGGCTGCCCGTCAGCAAAAATGGAATACCAGAGGCTTCCAATGATCCAGTCCATCTGCCTTAAGTCAGGACAGTACTGAAGAAGCATCTCAGATTCAGAGCCAAGACCTCCACTGACAGTATAACGCCTATCAGCTTGTCACTCTATCCAATCCATTACCACCATCTCCACACCTGCTGTTTCCAAACGCTTTCCCAAGCGGACTGCCTCTGTTTAACTCTGACTCAGTGTGCTTCCAAGGTATTGATGCCAGGTCTGGCCCATGAAAGTAGAAACTAAGATGGGATTTATGCCTTGAATCGTGGCCACTTTACCACTCTGAGGACCTCTTATTAGTGACAGGCATGAGACAGAAGAGTCCTTGGCTCAAGGTAACAGCGAGTGTTAAAACCTCCATCAGTAATGAACTGGGATGGTATTCTAATAGAAATTAATATTCTAATGGGTGCAATGTATCAAGCATTTGAAAAATATGAGGGAAACAGTAATCTTAAGGACAATGGCAGTGCTGGTTGCTAAGTAAAATTAATTATTTGAGAACAGCAAAAAAAGCCAACAGTGCTTAATTGGATTTTAAAATCTAACAGTGAAATGGAGAGTGTCTCTGCTAGGGAAGAAAGAGGCCTTTATTCTGCAGTAGGATGGCAGAAGAACTGAGAAACTTGCCCAGATCTTTTTCTTTTTTTGTGGAATCTCAATTTTTTTTTGTTTAAATTAGAAACAAGCTTGCTTCACATATCAATCCCAGCTCCCTCTCCCTCCCTCCCTCCCTCCCTCCCTCCCCAGTTCCCACCAATTCCCCCAGTTCCCCAGCTCATCCCCCTCTGCTACCCAGGGAGGGTGAAGCCCTCCATGGGGGATCTCTGAAGTCTGTCATATCATCCGGGGCAGGGCCTAGGCCCCATGTGTCCAGGCTGAGAGAGCATCCCTCCATGTGGAATGGGCTCCCAAAGTCCATTCCTATGCCAGGGATAAATACTGAGGCCCCATAGATTGCCGAGGCCTCCTCGCTGGCACCCAAATTTAGGAGATCTGGATAAATCCCATGCTGGCCTCTCAGCCATCAGTCTGGGGTCCATGAGCTCTCCCTTGTTCAGGCCAGCCCAGTCTTGACCCCTTTGCTCATCACTCCTCCCTCTCTGCCACTGAGTACCAGGAATTCAGGTCAGTGTTTGGGTGTCTCTGGCCCAACTCTTAATCCTAAGTGTGGCTGAGCTCTGAAGATTAACCACAAACCCAGGGAGCATGGCATTGCTCAGAGACTCTGATGCAATGGACTGGGTTGTGACCCCTAAAATTCTTCCATTTCCAGTTCTCCTGAATCCTCTGAGACTCAATGTGGACCACTTTATGGGGTCTCTGCAACTTCATGGCCAGAAAGACAGATGATCACAGAAGACGAGAAGGCAGTTTGTCTTAATGTGACTTTGCAGCTGGTGTTGGTTCAAACTTCAGGAGTCTGACCCCCAGTTGTTTAAGCATATTTAAGCACAGCGCAATTTATTGTGAACTATTCTGATGATGATTAACTCAGGCCTGCATTCACAATAAAGCATCCATAAATCTCCTCAAGGAACAAAGTGCTAAGTACAGATCAGCCCTGACAGCATCAAAACTCTTTGTAAAGTCCATAAAGATGGGTTCTGTAGACTGACTGAGAAAAACAGGTGTATGACTGACTAAGAATATGTTTATGATGAGGGTGTGGGGAGCACCCTGTGCTGGAAAAGTCTCTGGCCACACAGTGCCTAGGTCCCCAGGCTAGAAAGCAGTCCACTACAGCCTTCTAGGTGGACAACATGTTTGCATTCCTTCCCTTGAAGGAACAACTCTGAGCTTAACACTCTTGGCTCCCCTAGTGCTTCTCTGTGAGCACAAAGACCTCCATGCCTCAGTTTCTGGCTAAGACCTCCTTAGGGTCAGCCTCCAGCTCCATCTCAACACTAGGCATATGGCCAAGGCTAAATTCCATCAAGTTGGCACAAGTACTGTAAAGAATAGCCAAGGACTGTGTGGCATTAGGGAGGCTGACCTGACCTGCAGAAGGCTGAGGTGGCGGCTGCTAGAGTATAGTGTTCTGAAGCATGATTCTAATTGGTCTCATCAATAAAAACCCAGAGTCAGATATCAAGGTAAAAGCTGAAAGATCAGACAGCAAAGGAGCAGTCACAATCGTCACTTAGTGCTCTGAATCCTCAGACAGAAAGTGCTGAGAGCCTACTTACAGCCTGTGTTGCCACTTCCTATCTCCTCTCTATGCAGACCTCCCGACCTCTGTGGTTAACTAGTGGCCAGCTCAGTCTTCTGGTCTCCAGGGGAGCTTTGTTTGTCAGAACACAAACAAACCGCCACGACAATGTTTCTAGAAACAAAGGGGGTGGGCAATAAATGAGGAAACTGCTCAGTCTGTACAGTTATAAGAAACCAAGAAGTCAGATGTGGTGGTTCACTTCTGTAATTCCAGCACTTGGGAAGCTGAGGTAGGACTGTGGGAGCAAGCTGCAGTCCATTTAACAAGGCTAGAACGAAAGAAGAGGAGGAGTCACATCGTCTGGGTGGTGAAGGGTGGAAGGAGCACATGATGCTAAAAAGCACATGAACAGAGGGATGTTATTAGTACTCCAATAATGAGCCAGGCTTCCTTCTCTTAGCTAAGTATGTTGTATAGGAAAGTGTAGTCATTTTCCTTTGTGAATACCATCTAAGTTAGTATGGAATAGATTTACCGGTATTATTTTTTAACGAAGCATTTAAAAAATTCATATTTTTGCTTACGCGGTCTTGGTAGTCCTTCTGCATGCTAGGCAAGCCCCAAAATCATACAAGGATTTCTGCTACACTAGATGACCACTCAAGCCAAAATAACTAGACAATTTTGGGGCAAGTTACATATTACCTACCTCCCCATGAGTTTCGTCATGTGTTAAATGGTAAGCCAAGAGAGAAAGTAGCATATTCCCTTCTCGGTTTCTAAAGCAGGCAGTCTTGTGGAAAAGCATAGTCAGAGCTCAACCACGGAGCAGAGAACGTGGGAGTGTTTGCTCACAAAGGAACAGAATCCACAAGAGAGACACAACTCAGATTCAGAACACCGGGGTTGTGAGACACCCAAGAAACCTGGGCCTCTGGTGCGCATGCCTATAATCTCATCGCGCAGAGGCAGAGGCTGCTACTCATTATGACACTAAGACATCAATAAAGAAAAACAAAAACGTGAGATGGGAGGCTTGTCAGGGTCACAGAGCAGAAACGATTTCAAAAGAATCATGAAAAGAATTGCTAGCAAACTCATTTTTCTCTTTCAAAAAAATTTTTTTGTGAGTGCATCTTTCTCTCCCTTTTGGGGTTTTCAATTCCTCTGAGAAAAACAACAAAAACCAGAATAAGACACCACAGGCCCTGGGATCCTGAGCTGTCTGACCCCTAGTCCTTTCCTTCCCAACCCAGAGGCCATAGACTTCCCTGGCAAGATCACTTCCGGGAAGGTGAGCCCCGCCCTCCCGCCTGCCGGAGGGGGGGCGAGGTCAGGGCGGGGCAAACAGAAGTGGGCGGGGCGGAATCTTCCGGTGACGTGCACAGTCGGGGCGAGCTGACGCGGTGGCACATCCGGTCTCGCTCGCTTCCACTTTCGGAGGCGTTCCGCGTCCTGCTCCCGGCGTCTCGGGCGCGTCTCCCCGGGTTGTGTCCCCGCGGGTCGGACCCTCCTCCGCGTCCTCGACCACTGCGGTGAGCGGTGCGTCCCCGCCAGGCCGGGCGCCGAGGGTGGGCCGGGGGAGCCGGAGGACCCGCGGGCGGGCGGAGGGCGGTCGCGAGCCGCGTGCGTCTCCCCGCCTCCAGGCCTCCCAGAGCCCCGCCGCCCAGGGCCGCCCTGCTGTCTCCGGAGCTCAAGCTTGAGCCGAAAGAAGTTCGCGATTAAAATAAAAAAATAAGATTAGGTCCGAGATGGCTCAGATGGGTAGAGAACGGGTCACCCGTTGCCACTCACCGCAGTCAGCCACACGCTGCAGACTTTAAATGCTGAAAGAAAGCCCGTGGTTTGGCCACGATGATTAACCACCAGTTAGTTATTCTGGGTGCTGAAGACCAGTTTTGTAAGGTGTGAGCCAACGCAGAAGCATCTGGCCTGTTGAAATTGCTGCCTCTTAGGCAGGAGAGACAGGCAGTGAAAGCGACTGTAGTTCTTGATCTAGTCAAGGAAAATGGGTCGGCTTTGCAGTCAGTACTTGGCTTGCTGGACTTTTATTTAGATACACTATGTAGTCGAGAGTGTACTGTGCAGCTCTGCGTGGTTGGCAGCAGAGGGGTGTGCTTATATTTCTCAACATGGTTATTTCAACTTGGCATAAAGTTAGTATTTTAGTCGTCTCTTGTTAATGCTGTACAGATTTGTTTGAATGAAGAGCAGAATAGTTAACGTTAAGTAGAAGAAACAAGTACTCTGGCTTTTAGGGTGAGGTGGGGTTTTTTGAGCTTTGTTTATGCCTGTGTTGTTTTAAAGCTGTTTGGTAGTGCAAAATCTTAGTTTAGAAGCCGTTAGCTGCAATAGTGTGTGTGTGCTGTTGCCTAAAGAGGCTTTGAACACGCTTAAGTGTAAAAGCAGTAGGCCTGAGCTTAAAATCGAAGGGCTGAGATTACTGCTTAAGGAGAGTATAAACACTTTCCAAGTGAGTCTGGCAGTTACAGCCTTCTCTGCTTTCTTACCTAGAAAGGGGAAAATGCCGAAGAAAAAGACCGGTGCGAGGAAGAAGGCTGAGAACCGCCGGGAGCGGGAGAAGCAGCTCAGAGCGTCGAGAAGCACTGTAGACTTGGCCAAGCACCCGTGCAACGCTTCCATGGTGAGAGCTCTTAAAACAGCGGCTGGTGGTTGGAAATAAAAACTGTGTAGCACTGTATGCAAAATCTGTCTGAGAAAACTGTCAGCTCCAATGTGCCCATGGGTTTGCTGCTTGTGAAACCTGTTAGAGGCTTCTTCACTAATTTTATTGAGCAACAGTGGTTTTTTTTTTTTCTTTCTATTGCTTATTGTTTCTAAAACCTGGCCTGTTGCCTCCTATACTGTTGATGATAATAGATACTGAAGGAGACGGAGAACAGGAAGTGTTGGGAGGCTCCCGCTTTTCTGTGTCCTTTAACTCAGTTGTCTTATTCCCTGGGTTTAACCACATTCTCTCTGAGTCCTTCCTCTTGCTTGAGCTCCCTGATCCCTAGATATGCCCCATTTTCTTCACTAATCTTGCCTGTGCTAAGCAAGTTGGTCTCGGGAGTGTGTGGCTGTCTGAGATGCCTGGTTTACAAGACTTCAGTTATCACCCCCGGGAGCACATGCTGGCCTTGGGCTCTGTGTACACCATTGGTGGCTCATAGAGTGCCTCTTCTACAAGTTTGCAGAACTCCCTGGTGTCTGTAGGACTTGTTTGTTTATAAATGTCAGGAGCAAAATTTCACCTTAGAGAAAAGAAGTTCACTAGAGTAATAATTCTAAGTAGCAGGTTGAAGAAACGGTGGGAAGGACTGAGGGACAGGAGGGACGAAGATTGGGTGTGAAAGATGGGTGGCTGGATCCCGGATTCTAAAGCTCTTTTGCCCGCATTGCCCTGAGGATTGTCGTCCTCTGTTTGTCTGGAGTCTTGGTTTCTGGTGCATACATGACGTTGTGGGGGTCCCAGGAGGAAGAGTCTCGCAGGTTGGGCTTGAGCCCTCTTGTCCAGGACTGATGTGCAGGCCCAGGGCTCATGGGGCAGAGGTGACGGGGAACGGTGTGGTGAATGTCAGGCTCCTTTCAGGAGAGAGGACTGCTAAGCACAAGGAACCAAGTGACTAGCATGCGCAAGTGCGCAGGGAGAGTAGGGCTTGGTAAGTACTCCAGTAAAGGTACAGCCGTGTACTGTTGTTTTGTTTACTACTGCGGAAGACTAAGTAGTAGTGTGAATCTGAGCGTGTGGCAGGCAGTGCCGCTTACAGAGAATGGTCCACATGAAGAGATGAAAGGGAAACGTGTTCTCGTAAATGAGGGGATGAGGAAAAGACTGTAGAACGTATCTGGGGAAAGACTGACTGATAGTGACTTGACTCTGAAGAGTAGACCAGGCTAGAGAGTTGTTATTTATTTAAAAATTGTATTTATACAGTGTTCTGCCTGCATGTATACCTGAAGGCCAGAAGAGGGCTCCAGGTCTCATTGTAGATGGTTGTGAGCCACCATGTTGTGCTGGGAATTGAACTCAGGAGCTCTGGAAGAACCACCGGTGCTCTTAACCTCTGAGCCGTCTCTCTAGCCCAGAGAGCTTTGAAAGCCCTATTTTAATGTAGATAGTTTGTGATCTTTTATTATTGTGTGTCCTTCTGTATTTCTAGCATCTATTCGATGTAGGCACATAGGATGTTTTTAAATTAAAATAGAAAATTGAGCAGGGACTTGTATGTGTTTTCTGTCCAGCATTTGGTTTCTTTAAAACAACCAGAAGCAAGTTCAGTGTGTCTGACCTCTTCTGTAATATGGGTTCTTCCATTGTGGATCACAGCGTAACGTTTTTGTTTTCCTTTGCTAGCGGAGTGAGTACAAGAGCCCCCACACATGGCTGGAGCTGGATTTGGGGTGTAGAACCAGTTATGTTTTAATATGGGAAAGAAAATAGTCTTTATAATGCAAGCAAAATTTCCGTTTTCAGTCATCAGAAAATTAATGTTCTGTTTTAAATTTTGCAGGAATGTGACAAGTGTCAGAGGTAAATTTTCTTTTTTCTTTTCCTTTCCTTATGAAACTGTCCTCGTGCGCTTTATGTTGTTGTGCTGGGACACTTGGGGAGGAAAAGGCCAGTTCCGTGTCACGTCACTGAGGGATACCAGGGCAGGAGCTGTTGCAGAGACCGTGGAGGGATGCTGCTGTCTGGCTGGCCTCCAGCCTCACGTCCACCTGCCCTGATAACCTGGGGCTCCCTGCCAGGGTTGGCAGTGCCTGCGTAGACCCTCCTCCATCAGTTAGCAGATCCTGCCCACAGGCCAGTCTGATGGAGGCAGTTCCTCAGCCGTCCCCCTCCTCTCAGATGACTCTAGTTTGTGTGGACTGACAGAAACTAACCAGCACAGCAATAAAGTCGTCTCTCCTTTACCTGAAATTGACCCTATTTAAAATTTTTGTTTTACATGACAAGGCGGCAGAAGAATAGAGCATTTTGCTATTTTTGTAATTCTGTTCAGAAGTTACCAATTTGTGCCCAGTGTGGTAAGTATACAACTATGAAGGCATGTCTTTATCAAATGTTTGTCTGGAAGTTGTCAAGTATAGGTGGAGCTAAGTCCCTAAAATAATTCAAAATGAAACTAAATGGTGTTTCCCAGAGCACACAGATTGGTGTTTCCTCGGTGGTCTTCACAGGCTCTCACCGTGCTAACATGTCTCATTGGATAACTCTTAGACTGAGTGTTGCAGTCTTTGCCATGTTACTCTCATCTTGGGGATGTCTGTGCGTTCCTAAAGACTGGCCTTAGGGAGCCTAGTCACCTTTATTCAGATTTACCTCAGTGTTCTTTTTGAACAAATATCCTCTGTATGTAGGAGATGCTGGCTCAAATAGAGCAGCTTGGGGTGCCCATTGATATGTGCGTGACCAGGGCAGCAGGTTAGTGATCAGGGCTGCATGTGGAATGTTTCTAGTGTAGCTCTAGTTTTCCAAAAGGTCATTGGTTGAGTTCTGCAGTCAGTGAAGACGAGAACCCTGTAGTTAAAACTCTCACCTGCCTTTGTTGTACTCAACGCAAATGAATGCAGGGTGAGAAAAGGAGTTTGTGGAGTGGAAAAGTCAAGCCCTGCATTGTCAGTGTCTCTAGGCTTGCACTTTACAGGACTGTGTGCTGATGCATTTTCTATTGCAGACTCTCATGCGTGCATTAGACTCGGAACAGTTGGTAGCTGCTGCCCTGTGTCCAGTTTTTCTTTCTCCCCAGTGCCTGTTACCTTTGTTTACTTCTCAGGAAACAACACACCGGCAAAGCAAGCATCTTCTGTTTGTCTCGTGTTCCATTATTCCGTAGTCTGATGGGCAGCTAATATGTTGTCACTAAACTTGACATAATGTCTGATGAACAGATTTCTTGGCAGGGTTGGGGTTGGTAATTTGTAGATGAGCATCTTTCAGGCTGTTGTGGTTTTTATATTTGGATAAACTTAAGTGCAGCAATTGGGGTCCTTAATCATTTGCTGTGTCTTTGGACAGTGTGTGACAAGAAATAACTGGTAAGTCCAAGCCAGGCTGTTTCTGTTGTGATTTATGAATATAGGAGTCATTCTAAAGCATGCTTTTTACAGTGTTCACTTGAAGTTCATAAGATTTGAAACTGTCAAAGTGATCATAGATTACAATGTATAGCCTGGAACTTTATTGGGATATTGCATATAAATTATAACAGCTTTTATGGATTAATAAATTTCTAATCTCAGAAGATCTGACTCAGGTATGGGCAAATACACTAGTTTCATATTTTAATTTTTAAAATATTATTTACAGAGACACTTGGGATAGATCAAGGAGGAATTAATGAACACTTTCTTGTATG